GTGATTCACCCCCAGCAAATTTGAAGTGCAAAAAAACGCAACTTTAGAAGCGACCAGCCTGGCTCTCGGGGGTCAAAAGAATCGGAAAACGGTACAGAGCGATTGCCCTTGCCGTCCTTACAAAATGCCCCCCCCGGGAGACCTCTGGGAAAAACCCCACCCCTACAACCCCCACCCCCCTTCAAAATCCACAATCCTCAAGGTACAGCCTTGAGATCGGGCTGGCTTCATCCTCTTGGTCACCCTGATCAAGAGGATTCCGCGTCTGAGCCCTTGCACCCCGTTGTCACCCTCGGAGAGGCCGAAACACTTCACCCCCTTTCAACCCCCCTGCGATTTGAGGAATTTCTGCTTTTCGGATGGGGCTGAAACTCACCAGAGTTTTGGTAGACGTGACCCTGAACAGCGTCGAAAAGGTCCCATGTCGATAGCTGCCCTTGGAACCACGCAAAAACACCCCTAAGTTAGGGTTGCACAACCCCGAAGCGGAGGGGTTGAAAACAGCCGCGCCGCTGGGTGGGCCTTTCAGACAGCCAAAGCCATCGAGAACATACTGTTTAACCCTTGAATTAAGGTCTCTTCACAATTTTTAGCCTAAAAAATGAGTTTTGACGAAAAAAAAAAAAAAACCCGTGTTTGCGCCCATGTAGGGGTGAATCAGTAGGGCTACGGCCATGCCGACCGCGGCGTCAGGTGCGCCAAGGCCTCATTATCAGACACCTAAAAATTCAGAATTTTCGAATCACGCGTTTCTAGGCAGTTAGCGCAAGTTTCGAACTCCTGCTCACCGTCCTGTCGGGAAACGCTCTCAAAAGGTATGCAACCCAGCGGGCTTCGATGTCAGTCATTCTTTTACTGCATGATTCAGCGGGTGGGATTCAATTTGCTGGGTTAAAGATTGATCAAAGACACAAGCTGAACCAATCTGATAAGCTGAATCATGTAAAAAGCGGAAAAACTAAAATCGAAGCCCGACGGGTTGCCTTCCTTTTGAGAGCGTTTCCCGGCAGGACGGTGAGCAGGAGTTCGAAACTTGCGCCAACTGTCTGGAAACACGTCATTGGAAAAAATTTTGAATTTTTTTGGGGTCTGATAATGAGGCCTTGGCGCATCCGACGCCGCGGTCGGGATGGCCATAGCCCTACTGATTCAGCCCCTACAAGGGCGCAAACACAGGGTTTTTTTTTCGTCAAAACTCAGTTTTTAGGCTAACAAACTAGGGCCCGCCCTTCCGTCGAACCGAGTTGCCAGCTCCGCTTCGCTGCGCCGGCAAATCGGTTCGACAGGGGGCCGGCCCAGCTTGGCCTGCCCGGGGGCCTTTTCCCCGGGCCTTCGGCCCCCGCATCAGACCCACTTGGCCAGTCGAAGGCCCGGGCCTTCGGCCCGCTCGCATCACATACCCCGTGAGCGGGTAAAGCAAAGTTATCGATGTACCATCGTGACTTAGGCCCACCCTTCTATTCACAATATGCAAAAGTCCTTACACTCTTTACTCCAACTGTCCTTAGAATATGCCCATTTCATTTGTCACTTAGCCCTCATTCCGAAAATACCCATATTTGCCATGCTACTGCAACTCCTTGCAATAGAGGCACAGCAGAAGCGCAAAACGAGTCCGTCGCACTTTTTTCCCCATAACTCATGAAGGCGGGCTCCTGGACCCCCTTCCGACCCCTCATTGAAGAGGTCTTGCCAAGACCTATCGAAAACTTAAGTAAAAATTTTCAGTCGGTCGACCCCCTTTTTTCAAGATCCTGATGTGACTAATAGACGAAGTCGGGCTCCTGGACCCCCTTTCCGACCCCTCGTTGAAAAGGTCTTGCTGAGACCAATCGAAATCTGCAAAAATTTTTTTCAGTCGGTCGACCCCCTTTTTTGAAGATCCTGATCTGGCCAACTTGTAAAAGCGGCCGATGGGGTCGGGACCAGGTCCATTCATCTTGTCTCGTCGCCCCGATTCCAAAAATACCCCTATGTGCCCTGCTAGCACCAATAATGGCGGAAATCCCCCTCCCGCTCATGTAAACCATGATGCACCTGCAGCAGCCCTTGTGCGACCCGGACGGGATTTGCACCACCGGATTATTTGTTTGGACGGTACTCCTGAAGTACCCTCCAAATCTGGTTACTCTAGCTCAACTCCTTCCTTGTACACAGACACCAACAACGACAACAACGACAACAACAACACACAGACACAAAGGCAAATGCATAGGCCCCCCCCCCTATTTTTTGAATAGAAGGGCGGGCCAAAAATTGTGAAGAGACCTTAATTCAAGGGTTAAACAGCATGTTCCCGATGGCTTTGGCTGGCTGACAGGCCCACCCAGCGGCGCGGCTGTTTTCAACCCCCCCGCTTGGGGGTTGTGCACCCCTAACTTAGGGGTGTCTTTGCGTGGTTTCAAGGGCAGCTATCGACATGGGACCTTTTCGGCGCTGTTCAGGGTCACGTCTACCAAAACTCTGGTGAGTTTCACCCCTATCCGAAAAGCAGAAATTCCTCAAATCGCAGGGGGTTGAAAGTGGGTGAAGTGTTTCGGCCTCTCCGAGGGTGACAACGGGGTGCAAGGGCTCAGACGCGGAATCCTCTTGATCAGGCCGACTTAGAGGATGAAGAAAGCCCGATCTCAGGGCTGTACCTCAAGAATTGTGGATTTTGAGGGGCGGTGGGGGTTGTAGGGGGTGGATTTGTCCTAGAGGTCTCCCGGGGGTCGCATTTTGTAGAGGACGTCAAGGGCAATTGCTCTGTACCGTTTTCTGATTCTTTTGACCCCCGAGGGCCAGGCTGGTCGCTTCTAAAGTTGCGTTTTTTTTGCACTTCAAATTTGCTGGGGATGAATCACCCCCTCCTGGTCCAACTTCGTCAGTGCAACTTTGCACGCGTCTTCAGGACACTTGAAGGCAACTTGTTTCAAAGTTGCAGCCTTCTAGCTCTGAAACTCGAGATTTGAGGTCACTTTAAAAAAGTGTCCCCTTAATTTTTTCCACCAGTGTAGTGGTTATTTGAGGTGCCAAAAATGTAGGTAACTGTATTGAATGGTCCTTTCTGAGTTCAAAAACGTTGGTCCCATCCCTTTATGACAAAAACGGCGAAATCGGACTTACGTGCGTTTTTTTTCGGTTTCGCCCTACTGTGCGCCGTTCTGTCTAGCAGCGGCGCGGACACGTCGCGGACACGACTCATTTTCTGAGCGCTCTGGCGGCTGACTCGTTGGTCGCAGGGGTTTCGGCGTTTGCGCCCTTGTCAGGGAAGGTCGTGCGCTCCTCGGCGCACCTGAGTGGATGTTGTGCCCCTTCTGGTTACGGAGAATCAGGGGTGCAAACTTTAGGGTTGAAAGTGACACGATTTAACGTCTTTTGGGCCCTGGACGGGAACGAATGGACCGAATCACTTCAAATCTGGTGTGGAGCTGCCGGAAGGACCCCTCTATCGTGCTGTGAACACGGGGTCCCGCCGGCGGACCCTCATCCCCTTCAAAAGGGGTGAGGGGCGTAAGTGGTTTCCACCCTCTGCCAAAACGTTGTTTAGCAACGATGTGCGTTGTTTTCCTGGAATCGATCCAGGCGGTTAAAATCAATTGTGTTTCATGTTTTTGGGCCCAATTTTTGTCATTTTTGGTGCTTTTAGGGAAAAAACATGATTTAGGGTGTGAGTCGTTCGGGGGTGGACACCCCTTGGAAAGTGCCACGGACGCGAAATTACTTTTTTCGTGTCTGAAGGGACCCCCCGCTACCACGCTGACCACCTGGATAAGGTCCTAAAGAATCATCCCTTGCGGGGGTTGGTTTTTTTCGTGGCTCACGAAGGGTGCAACGTAAAGGGGTGGCGTTGGTCTTAATCGCAATAGGCGGTTAAAATGACGTGACTTACCAAGTTTGAACACTCTGTGACAACGGGAAGGCCATTTTAAACCTTGCAAAAGTGTCAAAATTTGACACTGTTTTACAGGAGGGGTGGAAAAAGACGCAAAGGGATGGGTTTTGTTGATGCAACTTTTGATGACGTTTACCTAACACTTTGGCCCATCCCTCCTCAAACTTTCAAGTGTCTAGCTCAATTCTTGCAAGATTTATAAGAAAAGGAAAAAAGTGGGGCTTAAATTTTGACGGCCAGTGAAGTATGATGCATGCTGTGCGTCCGCTCCTTGCACGTGGTGGTACATAGCTTCCAGGCTTGCAGCACTGCTCCAGGCTTTGATTACTTGTGTTTAGCTTTTCCGAGCTAGTCCACGAAGGAGTCTTGCCCATGGGCACTAACATAAAGGCGCTCCAGATGCAGACGCATCTGCCCGTATGTACCCGTGCCTGCCCGCATCTGCCCGCATCTACCCCCATCTGCCCGTTCTTGCCCGCACTTGCCCGTATTTGATAGCATTTTCCCGCATGCGGCTTCGAGCATCGAGCCGCTTCGGATGATGCGCCCGTACCTGCCCGTGCTGTGCCGGTGCTGAGCCCGTAAACGCACGCGCTGTGCCCAGATTCGGTTAGGCTTTGCCCGTAACGGGCGCGAAGTCTTTCTGTGCAGGAACGGTAGGTGTTTACTCGAGGCGTGGATTGTCGAAACTGGCGCAGCATCGCGCGCGAAGCCTGTTTTGACAAGGAACGATCTGTCCTTCACCTCCCTTGTAACATGGGTAAGAGGGGAGTTTAAAATTTTATAAAAACGTGATTTTATTGTATGTGAACGGCCCTTTAGAGTACGCCGATGAACTAATGTAAAGTTCAGGTCGTTTTTTTTAAATGAACAAATTGTTTTCTTCCGAAGGGCCATAAAGCTAGAACCTTCCCTTGGGTAGAGTGAGACAAAAACTTGAAACGAAATTCACTTCAATTTGATAAACGATGAACAGAATTTGGAACTGATCGAGGTGGTTCTTGAACTACAATACTTGATTATACTTAAGAACAAAAACTGTTGAGTTCTTCATGTAATTCTAGTTATGTAAATGTAGAGGTAGAATGTCTGTTCGAGTAATATTTTAAAAACGTAGAAGACTTACCTTGTGCAGCAGTAAAAGTTCCTTCGCCATGTAGAGAAAGAACCGCAACACACATCTGGGATAGGTTTTCTCCATTTTTGTCCCCTTAAGGACCTTGCCGTACTCCGCTAAGGCATCAACCTGACTTTTAGTAATATGCTCGTAATTTATGATCTTGTCACTGAAGAGGTATTCGAGAAACCTTTCAACGGTATCATCTTCTAGGACAGCCACGCTGTAGCTTCGTATGAGGCGCTTAAGGTACATTCTGCGCACATTGAAGATCCATCCAGGTGGGAACTTGTTTGCCTTTAGCTGAGGCTGAATGCGGTGATCGTTTCTTCCTTTCTCTCCTCGTTTCCCATTTTTGGCTGCTCCAGGTTTTGTAATGGAATTAACAATTCTGCGTTTTTCTGTTTCATTATCTATTTCTATCTTAAACTGAACGCCGTGCCATCCCCCTGGCCCACCATCACCCCCATCACCAGGCTCACCCCTTTCGCCAGAAGCATTTTCAACAGTAATGTGGACAAAATCTCTGCTTATAAGTTCAACTTGTCCACCTGGACCACCATAGCCGCCAGCCCCGCCGTCAGAACCAATTTGTCCTTGTACCCCAATTCCACAAGCCGTGAGATAGCAGTACCTTTTTCGTTGATCGGGACTGATTTCATTTGCATCGCAGTGTTGGTTGGATTCTGTGTAGGTAGCAGTTCTTACACGGAGACTTTCAGCATCTTCGCCTCTCTTGCCACTGCCGCCCTTTTGACCAGGCCCACCTCTCCCACCATTTGCCATAATCTTTAGATGCTCCCAGTCAACGATTCTGTTGGTCAAGACAAAAATTGAGCCCGCAGGCCCACCGGGCTCTCCAGGTTGCCCGAGTTCACCCTCATCAGCGGTCATGTCCATTCCGTTGCCTTGCATACCATTCAAGTTGATAGTACGTTCATTAACTACTTTGACTTGCGCTGCAACTACAGTAATCTTCATTGGCACAGAACCCATTGAAAAGTCCTTGTCCAATATAAAGGTGTGAAACGCAACAATATTGATTTCTCTTGTGTCACTGGTAAGGCTGTCCAACGCTTCACTTAGGCGCACTACGTATCCTGAAACTAAGCAAACACATTACTAGAGTATGGGTTAAACGATTTGGAATAACGACGTTGAAATAACAATGAAATAATGTGAATTTGAATTAACGGTGTATTAATTTTGACGAAGTTGTTTGCCCCTCGATTTGAATGGTACAGCCTCGGCCACCTCGTTGATGGAATATTTGTTTCAAGCATGGCAAGGGGACGTCCATTTACACTCCAACCCGGAGTGTACATGCCAGGTATGCTCCAGGTTGGAGTATGTATGCATGCTGACTCCAGGTGGAGTGTACTCTGTCCACACTTGAGTTTGTAGAGTCACAAGATGGTTTTATGAGGTCAACATTTTACTTTTACCTGGTTTTCTTAAAATCAAACTGCGCTCCCTTCCCATTAGTCTGCCTGCCGTGAAATGTCTTCCGAGACTTCTGGAAATAAATCTGGAGGTTCAGGCCTTCTTCTAACACCCGCATGAAGTCACTGCGGTTGCTCTTTCCCCAAAAAAATTGAAATGGACCGAAGTGCCCCAAGGACCCATGGCCTAACTCGGTATGAGCAACAAAGCTTGCGTTCGTCAATTTTTTGCATTGGTTGCTGCCGGTGCTCTTTCATACGAGTTGACTCTCATTCCTGGAACGTGACATCACGTTGAAACGAACGTGATAAAATGTCACGTTCGTTTGAGCATTTTAGCATTGTGTCACATTCGTTTGGGTGTTAATTGGCCAATTATCAGCTTGTTCACATTCAAACAAACGGGACACATTGCTCAAACGAACGTGACATTTTGTCACGTTCGTTTTAACGTGATGTCACGTTCCTGCATTGAGAGTGTTAACGACAGTCAAATGCGCGGGTCATTAAGGGTCCAATACTGCGTTCCTTTGTTAATGGACGTCCCCTTGCCATGCTTGAAACAAATATTCGATCAACGAGGAGGCCGGTGCTGCACCAAATCCCTCATTCGATAGATTTGGCACCAAAATGCTCGCACTGAGGTGGGTTCAGCAGGTACCTACACTCTTAATGAATTACAAAACCGTTTGCAGAGGCACAAAAGACCTTCATTTCAGTCTTAAAACAAATTTTGGTAAATTATGTCGCTTTTGAGGTTTGCACACTTCTACATATCTGCGTGTACCGTGAAAAGAAGGAAAAATACCCACGATTTTTATTTCATATATAGAAAGGGCATGAAATTTCCTTTCAAATGAGCCCTGGCAGACCTCTGTATCTGGTGCCGATCTCCTGCAATTTGGCCTCAAACGTGCCATTTCGGCTCAAAATGGGTCAAATTGGCGATTTTTTTTATTTTTCTACGGGCCGTGGAGTGAAAACGAAGGCCATAACTCACACCTTTGGCACTTAAATTTGAAAGAAGGGTCAGAGACCTACCGATCGCACCCTAAATAAGAGGATTTTTTGATTGGGAACACCCCTCACCAAAGCCTCAAAGTGCCTGAAATATAAGCTCAAAATTGAGATTTTGGATAGAAGGAGTTATGCTACGATCCTTCCGAGTGCATATTCGAAATTCTTTTGTGATTTTACGCACATGTAACCATTTTCGTCCTTCTAGATTGAACATTAAGAGAATGGGACCCATTATTCACTTTTAATATAAAAGTTTCGGAAACTCTAAGATAAAAACGTTGAACTGCTATATCTCGGAAACTACTGGGGCTACGGCTGTGAGATTTTGCACGGATGTTCCCCCTTGTGAGGGCAACATTTGACCTTAATATGATCAAAATCGGAGAGGGTCGATTAAACTCGTGTAAAACTACCATGGAACGCCCATCTGTCATTTTATTTACAAAAAATAAACGGGACGGGCCAAAAAAACATTTTTGATAATACTAATTTGGCCTTTCAACGAGTGAAAACAAGTGTTAATTTTGCAAAAATGATCATCCTGTGACAACACTTACTTAACAGTGAGTAACCTGGCTCATGAGTCCGCCAAAGAGAACAGGCAATAGTTCGGAAGTTATAAAATAAGTTGTTTCAAACCTTCACCTCTGCACGTTGGGGGTACCGGAAAACGTGTTTCCAGAAACCACTTAAAAACGAATTTTGGGTGAGTGGGCTGGACCCCGCGAAGTGGCGCTGGCATTTCAGTCCGACGGAAAGGGTTGGTCCGAGCCTGTTTTTGAATGGGTTTCCACTGTTAAAACTTACCATGCAACTTGGTGTCAGCAATTTTTTCGATATGAAAATTATTCCGAGCATCTTTGTGCTGTTGTATGATCATTTGCCCAATTCGGTCCAGTTTGGCAGCCTCCACTTGCACTTCGGTCCAGTTCACTTTTTTATCATAGGCATTGGTCAGCTTGTGTAATAAGTCAGACAACAAAGTGCACCTGTAAAACAAAAATTAAAATTGATTGTTGACAAGAAAATAACAGGAAAAGTAGCGATACACATCGGCAACTTTGGCCTGTCCCGTATATTAAGAAGTGTGCGAATTTTGCCTTTGTTTAACCCCCACGAGACTTGATTCTGCGTCTAGGGTCAAATTATATGTTATTTTCGTCATCAGCACCATCAAGAACTTCAGTAACAATGAAAAAACTAAAATAAAAAGAATGTTCAAAAAATACCCCGCTGGGATTTGAAACCGGGTCCTAACTTCTCCGATTCGCTCGAAACTGGCACCATTGGTTTTTTCTCGTCGCCCCGATTCCAAAAATACACCTATATGCCCTTCTAGCTGCATCCGTTGCCGAGATCCTCCTCGACCCCATGTAGACAATGATGCACCTGCAGCAGCGCCCCCGGGGCTCGGATCGGATTTGCTGCCACCGGGTGGTTCTTAGGGTCACCCAAGGAGGCTGCATACCAAATTTGGTCAAGATCGGACCGCGGGAAGTCCTCGGACGAACGAACGAACAATTCCTCGCGCCCAACGAAGCTGCACTAGCGCAACCCTTCGCTTTCCGCTACACAGCTACAATACAACTACATGAACCCAACGCGACCCTCCCAAAATCTGTTGAAAAGTGTCAACCACGAAAAACGCGGAGAGATGTACAGATACAGTACGGACATTGTCTCCCCACTTCAGTTTTGACGCTACCGGCGTGTAAATTCGTCGGTCGCTGGGGACGGTCGCGTAGGGGACGCTGGCCTCCTGCTGCAGCGCTCCGCATAGGCGACGCGCGTTGTTTCCCCTCAATAAAGGAGGCACAAGAGGACGCGCGCGCGCTTTCTTCAAGCAGCCTACGGCAGCACTGCATGCTCCTCTATGTGAGGGTGCAACAAACATCGGGCGTGCATATTTCTCGCGCCTAACGAAGCTGCACTAGTGCCAACCCTCCACTTCACGCTACACAGTGTCCATCCCGAGCAACACGCCTGCCTGCCGCACTGCATGCTCCTCTATGTGAGGGTGCAGCAAACATCGGGCGAGCATATTTCTCACGCCCCACGAAGCTGCACTAGCGCAACCCTCCGTTTTTCGCTACACAGTGTCCAAAAAAGATTCCAGTCGGGGAAGCACTTAAAACCACTTAAAATGCAGAGACATGTACAGATACTGTACGGACATTGTCTTCCCACTGCAGTTTTAACGCTACCGGCGTGTAAATTCGTCGGTCCGTAAGGGAAGCTGGCCTCCTGTTGCGGCGCACCACAGAGGCGACGCGCGTGGTTTTTCCTTCGATAAAGAGGGCACAAAAGGACGCGCGCGCGGTTTCTTCAAGCAGCCCACATGCACAGCACTGCATGCTCCTCTATGTGAGGGTCCAACGAGCATCGGGCGAGCATCTTTCTCGCGCCCAACGAAGCTGCACTACTGCCAACCCTCCACTTTACGCTACACAGTGTCCATCCCGAGCAACCCGCCTGCCTGCGGCACGCGAGAGGCCTGCCGAAAAACTACAACTACATGAAACTAACGGAAGCCTTAAAAAATCTCATGAAAACCTCAAGATCTTTTTCAAGCCGAGGCATAGCAGTCACGACGCCACAGTGGTCGAATCACCCCGATTTTCTGGTCATAAGTAATTAAGTTATTATCCAGTGCAGGAAGCGTCGTTTTTTCTTCAGCATATCAAGTTTTTAGGTCGCTGGATTCAATTTTGAAAAAAAAAGGCAGAAAATTTTTGGTCCAGGGGCGGTTTGCGTTCCGAAAGGGGGGTTAACATTTTGAAAACAAGTGTAAAGTTCCCCCTTTGCAGCGGCATTTACGATAAGGGGTTCTCTGAATCTGAATCCAGCATAGCCGGTTCAGATTTTTAGCCTCTGAACTGCTCTACTGGGATGCAGTTTACATTTCGGCTTCGACAGGTCCTCACTACAGCCGTCGACCGTTTTTCAGCTTTCAAAAGACTTTGTTGGGTTCGGACGGGCCATCCACTTGTTCAGCGAGTCTGTACAGATCTTTTTAAGTATCGAAAAGCATCTTCGTGTGGTTTCGGCAAGGTTTGGGCTTTCCTGTTGAGGGGTGCGTGTTTTAAATGTTACCTATAATTTCACAGTCATTTCGATTTTTTTCCCCATTTACCACTCCCTTTCCACCAAAAAAGAAGTTTGTTTTGTGTTCATTGACCCTCAAGAGCATCAACAGTAACATAAATTCTAGCGGACATAGCCAATTATGGAATATAATCCACGCTTTTTAGCGATTTTGCCTGAAAAGCTACTGCACTGACCATGTTTTTCGGTCATAGATTCTAAAGTTGCAAACGGAAGCAGAAAAACTCAACGCGGTTGTTTAAAAGACACTTGGGGAAAGGCCTCTGACCTAATGGGACGACCGTGTTTTATCATGTTCTAAAGTAGATTCCCGTGTTTGCATAAAATTAAGTAAAAATTGTGAATGTTTCGAAAACGTGACTTTACCAACCGAAGGAAAGCTCATAAAGCAATGCCCACTGGGGCATTTCATAAAAAACAAGTCAAACTAACTGAAGGAAAAGTTTAGGCGTCTTAAGGTTACACTAGGGCTGTAGGGGCCATAGTCAATTTGCTTCAAAATACATCCATGAAAAACGCTGCAGTATAAGTTCTGTGTTTGATTTTCTTTGTACGTGGACTCGATGACTCTGAAAGCTTATCCCACGTGGATTGACAATGAATAGGGTGTTTCCTAAACGGAAAAGCGTTAGAACATATCAAAATCTTTACTTTAAAAAATACCCTTCTGACCAGAAAATCGGGGTGATTCGACCACTGTGCGAAGGGCCCCGGGCAACCCGCTTGCCTGCCGCACGCGAAAAGCCTGCCGAAAATTTTAACTACAAATAACTAACGCGCCCCCCCCTGAAAAAGCTGATACCAACTACAGAAGCTACTGCAAGCCCACGCAGGGGGGTCTGGGGGGGGCGGCAGCCCCCCCAGCGAGCGCGAAGCGCGAGTCCCCCAAAAAATACCCTTCTTCCCAAGATGACTGACTGAGTGATCGATAGAGGCTAATTTGCGACCACTTCCACTCGAGCTACAACGATCGTAGACATACCGGTCGAACCGGAACGGGCACATTGTGTTGACGAAATATCGTCAAATCTTACGATTTCCCACTCCTTACCCTTTAAAATCGATAAAAACTATAAAATTTGCCCTCTTCCCGCGTTGAGGTCTCCGAGCGCCAAGGGGTTATTCCCCTACGCCCGGCAACACCCCGCGGCGTGCGAAGCGTCTTTTCACCCTCAAGGACGCGTTTCGGACGGTGGGTTGTCGCGACGACCCCCTCTCGAATTTTATGCTCTTTCCAATGAGTTTGGTCCCGTTCCTATCGGACCAACCGTTCTCGAACTGCATACGATTTGTCCCCGAAATGCGGTGTACGAAATTCACGAAAATCGCGTTTTTGTCAAATTTCACCTACAAGATGGCGTTTGAAGTGGGTCATCAAAGCGTACACTACCCTTCAAATTTTGAGGCGCTCTTTTTCGTTCCTATGACTTTTTGTCGTGCGGCGCACGGTTTTCCAGATACGAGCTCCGTCTAGCAGCCCTTTTTTTGCCGGCACGTGGTGCGCTTACGGACGGCCCTTTGGAAATTCAGCATCCTCCATTCGGCACGTATTTTGGTGCTGTTTCACGTGATTTCTGCGCACATCGTCTCCCGACTGCAGTTTTCACGCTGTCGGCGACCAAAGTCTGCACGTTCTGCATGGGACGGATGGGTCCTGCCACGGCGCCCCACGGAGGCAAAGCACGTGGTTTCCTCTCACTCAGGAAGGCCAAGATAACGCGCGCGGGGTCTTTCCATGCACTCCAAAGACACAACCGGTACGCGGCGCGCGGCGCCCTACGGATGCAAACGGGTGGCTTCCCCTCACAAAAGGGGGCATTCAGGACGCGCTTGCGGTTGTGTTCGTTCACCCTAAGGCACCAACGGTTGCCTTCTAACAAGATGGTACAAGGGACGTCGCGCGCAATGTTCTCACGCTCTGCACAGATGCACTTGAGGGACCTGCCGCCGAACGCTACAGTGTCCATAAAAAGGGAGCCACGAAGGGCCCGAAGCACAGTGGGCTAAAACACCCTTTTAGGCGCTCAAAACCTATATTTCAGCCATTTTCGATCGTATATGTCCCAAATTTGGTACAGACCCTCTTTTGGTCTTACTTTATGAGATTTTGAACAAGCGGCGGCAAGTGTGACCTTATCTCAGCCGTGGTTCACCGAAAATTGATATAATATAATCGTATTTTTATGTTGTATATTTCTGAGTCTGCGGGAGCACTCTCTCTTTCTATTAGATCAATGCAAAACATATTGTAGGTTTTTTTTTAATGTTAATTTCAGACGGAACAATTGAAAACCGCTTAAAGGAGTCAAAAACATCACTTACATTATATGTGCCTCTTTAAAAACAATACTGTAAAAAATCATGGTTACAGATTTTATAACAACTGTCAAACTTCAATTTCCTAAAATCAATTTTTAAATGATAAATCATTTAACTCTTCATGGAACAATAACATGGCAGGCTCATTAGCCTGGCCATCAAAGGGGCCAACTATAAGTGAAAGAACTGTGGCACACAGTTTTTGGCCCGCCCTTCTATTCAAAAAATAGGGGGGGGCCTATGCATTTGCCTTTGTGTCTGTGTGTTGTTGTCGTTGTTGTCGTTGTTGTCGTTGTTGGTGTCTGTGTACAAGGAAGGAGTTGAGCTAGAGTAACCAGATTTGGAGGGTACTTCAGGAGTACCGTCCAAACAAATAATCCGGTGGTGCAAATCCCGTCCGGGTCGCACAAGGGCTGCTGCAGGTGCATCATGGTTTACATGAGCGGGAGGGGGATTTCCGCCATTATTGGTGCTAGCAGGGCACATAGGGGTATTTTTGGAATCGGGGCGACGAGACAAGATGAATGGACCTGGTCCCGACCCCATCGGCCGCTTTTACAAGTTG